CTTCAATGTTAAAGAGGATCAATAGATTGAAAGAAATGGAATTAACAAATATCGTTTTCACCTGAATCAGAGTTCATAAATTTAGCAACTGCATATTTGTCTACATCTTGCCTGCTATTTCAATTCTTGATGAAAAAACATACATGCATGAAATCCTGAAATGCAAGGGATTATAAAAAGCTAAACTACAATTTACTTACTCGACCATACACTGGGTTAGCGGCAGCAAGAACACTGCACCTTGCATTCAACTTTGCATGTATTCCTGCCTTGGCAATTGTCACACGACCCTGTTCCATAACTTCATGAATAGCTGTTCGGTCAATATCGGACATTTTGTCGAACTCATCGATGCAAACAACACCTCTGTCTGCCAACACCATGGCACCAGCCTCAAGTCTTCTCTCGCCTGAAGATATATTTACTTAAAATCATGCAAATTTTCACCATCAAATAATTCTAAAGTAGAGGCTTAACAATGCTCCTATACCTCAAAGCGCTTGACAACTGACCATTTCAAAAAGCAAGCTTATGCATGTCAAAGGTCTTGATAAAAATCTATTAACCAAGTTTTATTGAAACCTGACTAGTCTGTACAACTTGTGAAGTAACAAGACTTCCTTCACCAAAACGATTTTTATTTTCTGAGAGTTTTCCTGATTTTTAGGAGGAAATGAAACATTTCGGAAGTCATTTTTCCTCTGATATTAGATTAAAAATACAGCAGTTAACGGTATGTTTAGAAACATCTCGTAGTTATCAGACTCAGCCATGACTACCTATGTAATATGATGATCACTCTAAAATCACTCATTACAAATTTACTGTGGAAAAATGTCTCTAAATTATTAATTCCAGTACTTTTCTGACAGAGAAAGTCATTTCAAGGAAGTTTCCAGATTATTTTCATTGAATTCAACTTCCAGTTGGATTTAAGGACTGTCTTAAAAATTAGGAGGATGCAGAAACCCTTTAACAAACTCAATCAGCTGTGAGCTGGGCCTTCTACTGCAGATCAACTATTATTTGGTAGTAAAGTGACTTTTGTTCTGGGACATGTAAAGTGACTTGTTCAGAGACGCGCTATGAAATCTGATGTAGGCTGTTCCAGGCACGATTCAAATCACTGATGTTTCTGCAACAACAGCACTCATTCTACTGGTGAGCCACCACACTTTCACAATTGTATTTATGTACACAGATATAATTTATTTCATCTAAGTGATAACAAGTACTGACCATCCGATACAAGATTACCTAAAACAATATTCTTAAATCATCTAACATCTTGATGAAACAGAAGAAATTTCATACAGCTGCTAGAGAGCTGACAAAATCGGGTAAATTAGATCCATGATCGCATTAATCTGTATCTCACCCAAAATATTTATGAGCTTGTTACCCTGGTAAACAGCAACATACCAAGTAACTATAAAGTTAAAAAAGGTTATATCTCAGCTGCCACCCCCACCCCAGAGTACAAAAATACTGACTGCTTATGACAAAAATACTGATTTTCAGGAACAAATACTGATTTTTAAAATTTGATTCATATGTAACTATTTACAACATATAAAACCATCAGTAAAGTAGGACAGTGCCTTATATAATTATTTAATGTCAAAGATGCACGTGTTGCACACTTGTACCTGGATGGGCACCGTTTCATTTGGGTGTCCATTTAGAAGGTGCAAGAGTACAACACACTCAGACACAGGCTGTTCATAGTTTTTACCCTAATCATTACTGATTTCAATGTACCAACTTCATTGATGATCTCAATTCTGTATGATTTTCTTACTGAACTGTTTTCATTCTAGCACAAGAGTAATCCTTAGTGATTTACTGTTTAGAAATTGTGTGTGAAATAAATCACCAGTAACACTAATAACTGAAGGAAGAATGTTAATTTCTAAAAGAAATTTAAAAAACCAAATTTCGATCAAATTACATCAAGGTTCTCTCTGGTATTTAGATAAGTTCAGGCCGAGTTGTGTATGACGAAGGAGCAAGCTGAAGTTTATTAGCTTCTTTGTGCTCTTGTATTTCATGCAAACCTCCATGCCCAATAGCAAAATCACATACAATTTGCAAAACGTAAAGTTTTCTCGTTTACTAGATTGTTTCACAAATTTAAACAAGACATCACTATTGTTTTACCAGTTGTTTTCTTGCCTTTCCTGAGAAAATTCTTAATATTCTGCTTTCCTATTCAGCATGATTAAAAGTTGAATATTGCGAATATGAGATACAGTTTTAGCGGTAACTATTTGCGAAATCAAGTGGTTAAAGGCAGGAATGGTAGCCTCAATTTTGAATGGACAAATTGTATTATATACATGCACATTTATTTTAAGAATGGAAACAGGTCCAAGTTAGAATAGAAATGCGCAAAGTTTTTTTAAAATTTTTTTTATTATTGAAACCAAAAAAAAGGTGTAAAAATCTAAACTGCTCTTGTAAAGCATAAAAATGTAATAAAGGTTTGGTATTCGAAACATGCAGCGAAAAAAAATATTATGTTCAACTGAAAAGTTTGTAAGCATGTTTAGACTTTACCATTAATACCGTTTTAACTCAAGTTCCAAACCCTATACAGCTCAATGGCTTCTTGCTATTTCTCAAATTGATGTAATTCTTATATTTTTCCATTTCACATGACGATGTCAATCATATCTCCTGCCATGAGCCATACTCAAATTGGCATGTGATGTCCAATAAATATAATTGTCTCCCTTCCAGCTTTTATTCACAAGAATCTGATTATTCCTTTTTTTTCTTTGGTGTTTATTATTAACACTTTTCCTGAGATTTATTTTACCTTTTATCTTAAACATTCATCTCTTATTGGAGGCTATTTAAAAATTTCTGTTTGAATATTCGCATGCTTTACATCAAAAGGTGCATTTAATAGCGTCTGAGGTAAAGCTAGTCTGGTTCCCAGACTAATTTCACAAATTCTAATATAAAACCTGAATCTAAATCAAACAAAGATTAACAAATTTTCCTGATTTTTCTGGCAATGATCATTTTTGCGTAGTTGTTTTTTGTCATGCTTGAAGTCTGTATTTTATTTTTGTAAGACGGTAAAATCGTAAAGGTTGGCAGGACTGTGTTCATACTGTAAGACACATTTAGTTGTATGGCACAATGATCATACTATAAGCACTTGTTGGTCTATGGTACAATGTATTTTACTGTAAGACACATCGTACATGTATATGGTACTATGTAATACTGTAAGACATATAGGTACATGTATATGGTACTATGTACATACTGTAAGACACATATAGGTACATGCATATGGTACAATGTATATACTGTAAGACATATCGGTCCTAGTTTAGTACATTTTATTAATGAGAAAATTTTTTTCTGTGTACCAGCCTGCTATGTAACTATAATCTATGTATTGGTCTATTTTTTTTTTTTAGACCCCCCCCACTTTTAAGAGACTTTTTAGCTAGCCTTATGGTTAAAATCGTAAGAGTTGGCAGTTCTATGCTCTTAGTTTGGCTTAAAAAATTTTGATCTTTTGCTCTCATGAAAGAACAGTCATGCTTAATATGACAAGGCAAATAATCCACTCTGGAACTGACCTGTCTCTTGATCTGTGGTAATGGCAGCTGTTAGACCGACCCCGGAAGACCCTCTTCCAGTTGTAGCAACTGCCCTTGGAGCTGTATTCAGCACATATCTAAAAAAAAACTATTATTTTATCATCCTGTGGGATTTAACACATGCACTTTAAATGCAAAACAATGATTATTTCAAAAGGTGAAGGTCCTTTCAAAGAAAGAAAACTGTTCAAAACATTTCAATTCTATCCCCAATCTTAAGCTCCATTACTCTGTTCTATACTTTTGTACAACACTATAATGGAGCTAAATACCTATCCCAAGAAAACGCCATGGCAGCTGACACAGAAAAACCATTAACAGTTGGACTATGAGTTGATGCCCAAGGAGCTCCCCTTGCTACACTGGGAAACCTTGATCTGTTATTTCCAACAAAAATGCAACTATCACCATGGGCATAATAAATGAACAAGTTACATATAAAACACTAACCAAAGACCCGAAGTCTATAGCAAATCAGCATATCCCTGCCATAGAATGAAAAGTGGAGTTGAAAATTGATGCCTGCCCACTGCTGTTATTTTCTGGTGGGTTGCCAAAAATTGAACTGGTCCTTGTGGCCAACAAATATCTGTTACAAGCCCATGAAAAGCAAATCTGAAGATGAAATTTTAAAGGGATATGGGCAACACATATATTGTACAGCCAATCCATTTAAAACCTGGCACCATTATTTTAAACTGGTCTGCTACCTATTTTCTTGACTATCATAACAAATTTGTGAGAGAAAAAAAAATCAGGTAGCAAAAACCAGTCTGTTTTCTTGGATATTTGTCACATACATCTGCAATAAATAGAAAATAAGGGAAATGCATGTAGGTCTATGATGGAGAAACATATTCCTTTTTTTATTTTATTCTCAAAGTTAAATGATGCATGGGATTAAGGAGATAATAAAAATGACAAACTTATATTTTTGTTATGAAAACAAAAATGGCATAATCTATATATAGGCGAGTGTATCATGCAATCAGGTAAAAAAGCATAGATTTTACAGCAAAATGCCATGGTTAGCAAGTATGCTAGAGACTAAAACTTTTGGCAATTTTAAGCCTAAAATCGATAGGTTTTTCCCACGACCCAAATGTAAGCTACTCACAAAGTTTTGTAATGGTAGATAAGAACTTGAGTAACTGAGTGGAAATCAAAAAAGGAATATATAAACATATAGACATCTTTTCGTGTGTGTGTGTGTGTGTGTGTGATTTGGATTTTTATCTTAGCTTTAACAATTTTTCAGTCATAATGCGATTATGTCTGTATTGTCCCAACACCATGCTGACCAGTCCTAACACTAACTTCTTAATGCTGAGCACCAAGCAAGGCAGCTGATAATACCAGTTTTGTAAGTCTTTGGTGTGATTTGGCTGGGGATCGAACCAATGACCCCATGCATCCAAGACAGACACTCTAACCACTAGGCCACCAGAGCATTTTTTATGGGATCTTTATTTTAAAAAATAATAATTAATAACACTATTAATTATCTTAATGGTATGCAGACACTTAAAGTAGAAATTTTATGCTCCAAGTCCTTGACTAAATGAAAGAAAAATGTTCAACCATTTGTTTTTCTTCTTGCATCTACCCTAATCCCAATACATGCAAGGCAAAGTACATTACTGCTTTTGGTTTTGACTTGAGTGTGTCATGTTACTTGTGAAAAGTTCTACAAAAGATGTATTTTTGCTTCCTACAATATAAAAAGTTCTTTGGAATCACAGTATTTAAGGTGTTTGGTAATTTTTTGTATAGCACCACCTTTCATGTATTTATCTAAATATACACTTGGTGACCACTAGTTCTGCATCACCAATTTTATTTTGTGAAAATGTCAAAACTGCTGGCAAGTACACTATTTTAAAAAAAAAGCACCAATGAATTTCACTTCTTCAAAACATGGCTGTATCTTATGTTCTCAAATAAAATTCATATCTTCTTACTATCAGTTAACCAGTCTGTCATCTGATAAATGTGCAATGATTTTATGCAAGGGTCAGATCTTTTGTTACCATATATGTCAAGAAGCAGATCAGATCTATGATAGCAAACAGGAGTCAAAATATAAATGATTTTAATGGTGTTTTCTGGTTAACTGTCAGGTTCATACGTTGTTGACTTAAAAACTTTGTTGTACTTGATTTATTACTTCTCATTGTGCCAGCTAGTTTTAATAAAACAGTCTGTCAACAAAATATTTTCATGCTCATGTTGGTGTGCCCATTTTCACGTACAATCCTGGCTCCAACACTCACCCCACCTCACCCTAGGTATAATTGGTTACATGTCCAATGTTTTATTTCTCTCAGACAGGTTTCTGTTGTTGGAGGTTACTGATGACAGAATGAGAACCATTTAAGTTGCATCAAATTGCAATTTGTGCAACATATAAAAATCCCAACTTCAGGAGAAGTATATGCCACTGTAAAAATATTTTTCTTCAGTATTACCATAAGACACTAACAACCCTGGAATCTAATCTCTTTATACATTGTTTCCCACAATCACCCAATTTAAATGGGAAATTAATATAAAATAATAAAGAGCAAAGAACACATAAAAATCATCATTTTTCAGGATTTTTTTTTTAAAATTCAGACTTTAAACGAATATTTACCTCAACATCTGTGACTTGGCCACTGAAGGGTCTCCAATCAAAAGAATATTGATGTCTCTGAAACAAGGAATATATTACATGATAGTCTTCCAAGTTATTATTATCTACGTCAGGTCTTAGAAGCTTACAAGACACTGACGGTAATTTAAGTGTCATATTAATATGGAGAAATTCAGTAAACATGGTAAAATTGTGCCCACTCTGTGTCTATACATATACATGAGTTAACTGTTCGCTTGGCTGCACTTCTAATGGAGTTTATCAAGTCGTACTTGTATGCAGCAAAAACTTGTGATCTTGATACAATAAACAGCCTGACCTAATTAATATTCATGCATTTATGGATGTTGTGTTTATTACACATCTTAGCACAAAATCGGCTATGTAGTCCAACAAAAGGTCAAGTTTGAAAAAGGTCAAATGTAACTGACACAAATTTTGCAACATCTATAATGCATAGGATGTTAGAATATTTATAAGTACAAAAACTAATTAAAACCTCACAAATGTGTGAATTTCACAAATTCAAGAACCCCACCTTTTAAATAATATATCTTAAAAATTGATAATGTAAGCACCTGCTGCTCGACTGACCTCCGAAATTCAAACATTTAGTGATGTTTTACAACACAGCAAAAGGATGCTTTCATTACCTAATTAGAAGTGCTCAACTACAATGGCTTAGAAGTAGTTTTAGATATTTAACAGTAGATGTTTATCATTATTTTTAATGCATACAACAATGCCATCATTGTACAGCATACAACACAGTGCCATCATAAACATAATGCATACAACACAATGCCACCATCATAATGCATACAACACAATGCCACCATCATAATGCATACAACACAATGCCACCATCATAATGCATACAACACAATGCCACCATCATAATGCATACAACACAATACCACCATCATAATGCATACAACATAATGCCACCATAATGCATACAACACAATGCCACCATCATAATGCATACAACAATGCCACCATCATAATGCATACAACACAATACCACCATCATAATGCATACAACATAATGCCACCATAATGCATACAACACAATACCACCATCATAATGCATACAACATAATGCCACCATAATGCATACAACACAATGCCACCATCATAATGCATACAACACAATGCCACCATCATAATGCATACAACATAATGCCACCATCATAATGCATACAACACAATGCCACCATCATAATGCATACAACATAATGCCACCATAATGCATACAACATAGTTCCATCATAATGCATGCAACATAGTACCATCATAATGCATACAACATAGTTCCATCATAATGCATGCAACATAGTGCCATCATAATGCATACAACATAATGCCATTATAATAATGCATACAACAGTGCCATCATCGTAACACCTATGATGCCATTGTGCAAAGTATGAACAAAACTTGTGTTATCTTCATTAAATTATCAAGTTATTTATGTTCAAATTCTAAGGTGTCTATTTGTAAATGATGATACTGTACAACTTATTTATCACATTTGTTCAAGTAGCAAGGGGTCTATTTATCAGTACTGGTCTTGCATATTTATTACCTACTGGCTGAATCTGTAAGGAGTCAATTTATCAATAGATGCTTCCCGACAAGGTCACCTGAAGATATTATTCTACCCATTTTACCTGGATGACAGGCAACCTTGAAGATTCTCCTATAAGGGATCACCAAAACAGACCATTTTGAACAAGGCACACTGAAGCATAATCAACTTATAAATTACAAAATATACATACTAACGGAAAGCCAGATTTGTGCTTTATGTATGCATTTTTTTGGTAACAGCATCTTGACATTGAATGACTTTAACTCAACTCCAAAACACCATATAAACTCAAGGGTTTATCTGCCAGCATACCACAAATATGGCAGATGTAATTCGGGAACAATAAATTTGCTTGTACAAGTTATTTATCTCATGTCTGTTGAAGCTGTGAGGAGTAATTCATAGATACTGATATGTACAAGCTATTTTTATCACATTTCAGCTATAAGTGGTCTATTCTTACATACCATTCTACAAGTGTTTACCACACATACATTTACTGAAATACTGGTTGTGTATAAAAACTCTTCCCACCCAACCTCATTTAAGAATATTAAAAATCATTCCACCAACCCACCCGATAGTCAGAGCTGAACCCACCCTGCATGAAAATCCCAGACAAATCAAGTTATATATCAAATTATTGCTTTTTGTTAACAATGCCATTCACCAACAACATTCATTTATGAAAAGTACAATGACATCCACTGATAACACATTTATGTAATGTACAATGACATGCATTTAAAACATTCACCGATATATTTACCCTCTTATCCTTGTTCCATTGGCCAAAACTTTCTCTGTGCCTCCAAGCAACATACAAAGGATTGCCTTCTTGATATAATCATGGCCATGGATTGTAGGAGCCAGAGACCGAGATAAAACTTCAAACGCATCATGGCTTTTCTGCTTGCTGAATTTCATTATCTTTCCAATGTCATTGGCAGAGAATGTGGGAGAAATTTCCTTGCTTAGCAGCTGTACATTGTTTGCAATCAAAATAGTCCTATGTTGAAAAAGACAAAAAAGCATACTGAATGCTCCAGAAAAAGACAACCTCAGATAATGGATCCAGACACAGATCTGTACTATCTTAAAGGAACCCAACAATGGTGCCATGCAAGGCAGAAATTTATTACACTGGTTCATTTAAATAAGACTGCATAATTTAATACTTTTGGAGGTTTAAAAATTTTAGTACTTTCTGTGGTTGGTAATCTAAAGAAAGTCAAGATGCCCTTAAAATTGTCCGCCTGTGGAAACCAATTTTATACTTCAGGAAGAGGACTTTCTAATAAATACAACAGTGATATTAAAAATCTTTATAAAAAAGCACAACGGCTTCTTTACATTTGAAATTTACTATTTCAGTTAGATTACAGAAAACCAAAAATTTCTTATCAGAAATTTACAATAGACCTGGGTTTCTTTAAACTACACAACTTGCCCATAAAACAGAAATGGGTCTATATGGTGAAATGGTTACATATTACCTACCTAAATGACCCCGACGTGAATCCATTCCTCTTTGCTGGCAAGCATCTAAAGGTACCAATAACCTGAACTCGGTCTCCAGGCTGTAGTGGGTAAAAAAGTAAACAAATGACAATCAATAAATACCAATCAATAAACATGTTATTGAACACTGACACCCACCATAGTGCCAGAAACTGACCTACACAACTCCTGTTTACTTAATGGGAATCTTTCCTATACTGACCTATCAGCATGCATGCATGTCTATTTCAAAACAATATACAAGGGTTTGGTTCATATACTACTAAAAAATTTACTTAAAGCAAACATTTCCTATCAATATATATATATATATATATATATATATATATATATATATATATATATATATATATATAAAACAACATAAGTTAATAGAGATAAATTTTAGTCTTGAATTAATCTGTGCCAATAAAACCAAAAACATTTTTTTCAAATAAAATCTTTTAAGAAGATAAAGTTAAAAAGACTTAATTACAAATAGGTCAATTTAAATTTTCACAAAAACTCTTTGAAAGTTATATAATACCAGATAAAAAATGGATTGAATTTTCCATAAAATCTACCCATGCAGCATGCCTCAAATACGCAGACTTTTCTGATTTGACACAAAAATCGTCACCCATACATACACTAACCCCAATTGTATGTTTTGCAGATTAACACAAAATGAAAGTTTGGTCAAGCTACTTTAATGGCTAAA